GCCGCTGCAAGTAACTCGGGCAACGGCGCCAAGGTGATAGAGCTCCTCCTCGACCGCAGGGCAGAAGAAGTCACGATTACAGAAGATATCGTCAAGGCCGCTGCAGGGAACTCGGGCAACGGCGCCGAGGTGATAGAGCTCCTCCTCGACCGCAGGGCAGAAGAAGTCACGATTACAGAAGATATCGTCAAGGCCGCTGCAGGGAACTCGGACAACGGCGCCGAGGTGATAGAGCTCCTCCTCGACCGCAGGGCAGAAGAAGTCACGATTACAGAAGATATCGTCAAGGCCGCTGCAGGGAACTCGGGCAACGGCGCCGAGGTAATAGAGCTCCTTCTCGACCACAGGGAAGATCAAATCACGATTACAGAAGATATCGTCAAGGCCGCGGCAGGGAACTGGCGCAACGGGGCCAAGGTGATGGAGCTCCTTCAAGGACATTGAAAGGATCAAGTTTGAGACGCGCCTGTTGCCCAACATGGCAGGAAGGAGTCGTGCTAGGTTAGATAACGATGTCTCCGCATGCCCGTTCAGGACGGAAAAACTTCTCTAAAAAACACGCCCGTGACTACCAGGCTAAATTCACACAGAGGCCCAGGAAGGCAAATATATTGAAGCCGTAGGACGCCTGCTGGCAGGCGGTAACGCTCTAGAGACGCTTCGTGGCGAGGTCGAGCTACATAACAGTCAGCACCAGGACGTCAAATGTGGTGGTAGCGGCCATTGATGCAAATTTGTAGCGAAAAAGACTGCGCGGCTGTGCCCAGCCGCAAAGTTGCGGACGGGGTCCGTGTTCATGCGGGAGAGCCAGAGCTCGAGAGACTGGAGTTCGCTTACAGGCCGGCATGCTGTCGGCCGGGTTTGCGACGACGCACTCTCCCTAAGATCAAAGTCGTGAGAGGAAGCTAGGAAGGCATACGCACTGCCATTACTCCCGATCAAAACGGCGTGGCGAAAGGTGAGATACGGCCCTTAGAGGAGCGGTCGCATTCTCGTAAGACGGTGGTTGATGCCGCCGAAGGGAGTAGACAAGTTCCCGTTTCATTTTTTAATAGAGTAATAGTATTAAGCTATTGTAAGTGTGTTCTTACGTAACCGCGTAGCTTATCGTAATAACTTATAATAAATACTGTTGTTTTGATGAGTATACAAAAACAGCCTGAGCTATTGTTTTTTAAGCTAGAGTTTATAATATAGTTCTCGCTGCAAATAGGAGCTTTGTATATACGTAGCCCGGTCTATTTTAATGATTAAACGCGTGCATAGTAGTCAATAGAGATAATTGAGCTAAAACAAGCTTACTTTCTTCATTAGTACGCAAGAAAGGTGTTAATTCAATGGTATGGATATTGTTTAGTATATTCACGTTTTATTTATGCTAGAATATTCGCATAAATTACCTCTATTGTTAGAAATAGAGGCGATATATCTTTGTCAGGGGCTGTGAGAAGTTTTTCCATGGGGTTCTCTTATAGGGCCATTCAGAGCTATGACGGAGGCTCTACTGTAACACCGCCGCCGAAAGACTCATGAGGTTACGCAGCCACACGCAAAGTGTTGAGCTTCGGAGGCCACAGCGCGCCACTTTGTTGTAACAAGTGACGCGCACCCGGTTCACCAAGGTTACCCTAGCTTTCGGGTAACTCAGTTTCTTTGGATAAAACAAACTTCTCTCTTCTCGAAGTGAAAAAGGCAAGTATTGAGTCTTGTGACTATATAGTCACTGGCGAAACCGCCTTCCTCTTCTTCACTCTAATGAAAACTGAACGCAGGGACATTGTCCGCTTACACCGTGCGTGTTCACACCCACCGGCGTACTCTGTCTTATTTCAAATTCAAATCTTCCGCTTCTGGCAAGTAATTAGCATAAAGAGGTCATAGGAAAATCCCTAGCTAAAAAGGGCCCCCGTCCGCACATGGGGAGCAGCTTGGTGTCCTTCACAAAGTCGGACACAGTCATGAGGTTTATTATATTGCTGTTCAGCCTGTTGGCAACTGCAAAGAAACACGCGAGGGACACTGAAAAGGATAGCACTATACAGTATGCGAGACCACAAGGAATCACTTGTAGAGAATCCTTTGACATAGTGTAGCTAATTTAATGCAAAAGATACTCGTGAAATGACGCTGCTACCACGCTGAATTCTCAATCGCCTCCTCAGAGCCCGCGTTTCCTTCCAGCTCCTGCCAATCTTTCAGAATAAGGAGAGTAGAGACCGTGTCTGGATGATCTCGGCCTAGTCCTTGCTGGAGGTGATAACAGCAAGTCTTTATTAAGTCCAGAGTGTCTCCGAGACGGGCCTGATTTTCCCAGATTTGAGCAAGGCTAGCCATGCTAGGTAGCGTGTCGGGGATGCTACTCTCCTAGCACCCTCTTTCTCGTCTCTATCACTCGTACCTCCAGCGACTCGGCCTCCTTCCATCGGCCTTGGTTCCAAAACGTCGACGCCAGGTCGTCCATGCTGGTCATCGTGTGGGGATGCTCCTCCCCAAACACTCCCCTTCGCAACTGTCTCGCCTGTAACTGGGACTTCTCCGCCTCATCCTATTCTCCTTTGGTAATAGAAGGATCCGGCTGCACAGTGGAGAAGTGATGCCCTTGCCACCCTCTCATCCTTCGAACCAGTGCTTATAAGTCTTAGCACCGCATACGCATGCGGAAGCAATGCGCTACATATTGCCCGGCTCTCATACCTGCCGTATTGGGAAGCCTGCGACACCACCGAGAGCGCCTGTTCCGCGAATTGGTGCATCGTTCCCTTCCTGTCGAGCCACCTTTGCGTGAACAACTGCACAAGGCGGTGCATATCGAACCAACGGCCCTTGTCTTCCATAATAAAACAAGACGCCTTAAAACGCCTAGCGCCTTTGTGAGCTGTATCCCCCCCTTTGTTCTTGGCCCTGCTGCTTGCTGTAATGGGATAGGCATTCCAACGGGACAGCCTGCCGGTCGAAGCGGCTCATGAGCGAGAGAAGCTCGTTTGCGAAGCCATTCAGCCGCTAGATCTGCTCAAAGGAAAGAATCCATGTCTCAGCCACCGCACGAGGAGTCTCCGAGCCTCTCCCGTCTGCCTCGAATTCCTCACTGAGTAGATCGATGACGTTCTGCTCGCCCTCATCCAAGAGCCGAAGGTAGTTGCAGCGTTTATGGTGTTCTCTTGGATAAACGCCGCTGCCTGAACGAGCGCCAGCGGTAGGTGCTCCAGCCGAGATGAAAGAGCCGAGGCTTCTTCGGAAGCGGCGTCGATTCCGCCAAGCCGTGCACGAAGCAGCTGGGCCGTCTCCTCGGCATCCACCCTGCCGACCTCGATAGGGCGGTTTCCCTTGGCCAGCCTCGAGCCCGTTTGCTTGTTCCTGGTTTTGACAAGAATAGCATCGTGCGAGCACCCGGGAAGGTACCGTCCGAGACTCTCCCCGCGGCTGGGAGAGGTGGCATTCGCAAGCCCCATATGCTGCCCAAAGAAGAGCTGTAGATCGTCGGCATTGTCGATAACTATCAACCATCGGCCGCGACCCTTCCTCTCCAGCGAGCCCTTCACCAGCACCAACACGTCTGCCTTTGGGTCGTCGTAGCCCGGTACCTGGCATTCCTGTGCGATGGATGCGTACGCTTGCCGGGACCGTTCGGCACTACTCGCATAGACTCAGAAGACCGAGACCTATGGTCTTCTTCGTCGGAGCTATTATACGTATGCTTGAGCAATCTGCGCTTTTCTGTACCGGTCAATACGGACTTCATAGGCAAGAACGTAGAACTAACCTAACACCGCCGAGGCCGAAGAGAGCGAACCTTGATTGTGAAGCCGGCTCTAGAAGCTGTTGCTGGACTGGCATAAGGATGGATTCCCGCCCAAAAAAATCCGTATTCTTAATATAGGTAACAAGGACTTCTGCATGGTCAGCACGGCTCAGCCGGACATTTAATCACAAGGATCTACCCACACCAAGGTCCGGCTGGCAGCTCCAGGAGAGGAACAGATTCTAAGACATGTAACAGGTATTCTTTAGAAGGCGTGTCTCTAACCCTCCCCGGTAGGTCATTACATACCTATCGTTAAGGTCACCCAGTAACTCAAGAATGCATTCATGCATGCCGCTGCCGTCGCGGCGTTCCGCTGCCACGCCTTGGTCTTGTGGCTGTCCCCGTAGTCGCAGGCACCGCAGGCACCCTTGATGACCAAGCAGGGGAAGCTGTCCCAAACACCGGCGCCCTCCATTTCAAAGCCGACGATACCCGCCTGCCGTGCGATGTTGTCGCGGTCCTCGCCCGGTTTCATGACTGTATCGTCTGACGCAATCAGGCCAAAGTGAACAGCAGGCTGTCCATCGCCCTGCCCGAAACGGGCACGCGGCACTAGTTTGCCGTCGCAACCGCACTCCTCGCACGACTTCCCGTCGCTCACATGGCGATACGTCGCCTCAAGCAGTTTGTCCAGCGCAGCACCGGGGTGCGCGGCCGCTAGCTCCGGTTCGCCCCGGAGCACGGCCATTCTGCTCTGGAGCATCTTCCGGCTACGGAGGCCCTTGATCTTGGCGAGTAGCTCGCGGATCTCGGCGCTCGGTCTGCCTAGAGCGTCCAGAAGTATATCCTTCGGAACGAAATGCTCGGGTAGTCGCCGTCCGAGGTCGCACTGTACGACCCTATCGCTGACGATGACGTCGCCTGGCACGGTCTCGGCCGTCGCGCCGCTGCCGCCGGGACGAAAGGGAACGACGCCGCAAATGCTAGTGACGAGGGCGAGTTTGATGTTGGGAAATTTTGCGCGGCAGTGGGCGGGAACGGCCACGGCGCTGGCCTTGCCCATGCCCGGCATATGTGCGAGGACGACGTTGTGGCGTCCGACGGCGCCGGTGGAGTACGCATTAGGATCGCCCGCCACTTTGTCGTAGGGGGGGCCGCCATCGTCCCAGTGGTCATCGAAGAGGGCGTCGACGGCATCGGCTTCGATTGGGAGAGCACAGATGACGGCAATCTCGAAGCCGGCCCGCGTAGCTAGGCGCCGCGGCCGGGTTGGCTCCATCGGTTATTACGCCGGAGTCGGCGCCGGAAGGCCGGTTGTGATCTCGTCCGTCGGTCCCCGTGGGGTGAGACTCTATTCGTGAATGTGGGTTTTAAAGATATGAGGGTTTCACGAAGTTAGGCCCCACGCCACCCGTCTCTCTAGACCCTCCTAAAGGCCGATGGCTTGGGCCCGGGCTAATTTTAGCATCGGCCTGCTCGGCGCTAATAAACGGCAAGGCTGGGGCCAAAAGACTCCAGTGCCATGCCATGGAGAAATCGCCAGTGATCGTTCCGCTGGATCGTACATACCTAGCTGCCGGCTCGCTTGCTGTGGCCCTCCGCCGTGGATAGGAACTTGCGGCTACTTTCTCCAAGATCGCGTCCCAAATTCCGCTGCCCGACGTTCATTCGCCCGATCTGGAGTGGGCTAAATTTAGGATTCTTTTAGACCACATGACCTCATGGCACCAAACTCGCTGGAGAGCACCGCTTTGCTGTAACATTCCCCTAGATTTCTAGACGCCTGCCCACAAGCAACCGCCAGCTTCACTACAATCTTAGTCTACAGACTCACACTACTCGTCACCATAGGCCATGGCACCAAATATTTCGCCTTCTCAGCATAATCAGATTCGAGACATGATCCTGAGCAATTCGCTCACCGACGTTTAGATTGCCAGCGCAGCCGGTTGTAGCACGCACTCCATCCGAACCATCCGAGCGAACCTTCGATGCATTCATCAGGTCAAGTAAAGCGACAGCGAATAGGCCTAGGCGGCCTGGAAGCATGACGATCCTCATGCTGCACGCATTATACGACCGACTAATCGAGAAGCCGCATATATCAGAACTAGATGGTCGTGTTCCTCTGGGACGAATTTGACTTTTTAATGACGACCTATAGCGTTGGCAGGGCGTCAATGTGACATTCGGGCCAGACTAGCTACAGGGTAGGTAGATTTAAAGTCGGTTTAGTTGCGAACTGAGTACACTAGACTAGGATGATGTCGTTGACTTGAGGCGGTCGGGTCACAGTCTATGTACGAGATAGTAGATCTTGCGTAGACAATTATATTGATAGCTGTCGAGATGGGTAGAGACTGACTATCGTGAAGCGTGGCTTCCTATATACTAGAGTGATCAGTGTCCCTTGGCAATGATCGGTCTGCTTGTTCGCGGCGATTCGTGATGATCGCAATGATCGTGGCAGCGATCATTCGTGGAAGTGATGATCGTGCCGTGAATGGTGAGAAACAGTGGGGGTACTTCCCAAGCACATGAGGGCCGCAAGTTGGGTCGTAACAAAACGCCAGAATTGCTATACAGAGCGTGCTGCAAAATAGTTTGCAGCAAATTCAGGTTACTGCAATTTTTGCTGTAATTTTTGCTGTAATTTTCGCTGTAATTTTCGCTGTAATTTTTGCTGCAAACTAGGAATTCTGCAGCAAATCACGCTCTTCCTCGGTCGATCCTTACTATAAAGGGCAGTAATAGGGACCCCGCTACGTGAGGATATTCGCCAAGGAAGAATTATGAACGATTCTCCAATTAACATTGCTGATTTTTACTAAAAAGAGGCGTGCTGCAAAGTTATGCTCCTGCAAACATTTTGCAGCACTCATGCAGCGGGCCCTTCGGGTGCTGAATTACCTTCACGAACGAAGAGAATGATCGCCTATGATTTGCGCCAACTCCGTTATAACTGGCGATCTAATATTTCACGATTTTACGCATATCATTGATTTACCTGCGTCACGTCTTCGCTTCTAGTCTAAATGGTATATAGTGTGGTTATAACCATTTTGGCTTTTGCCTCCAAAGAGCGCGACTCATCATCACATTCGCATCATTACTAGTTGATCCCCTCCGAGCGCAGTCACTTCACTCAGTTCCACGATATGTGGTGCTCATTATTATAGCTACCGTAATACGGTTTGTGACATTAATGCTATGCACACTCACGTGGCGGGTTGGAACGCGATGATGTACTCATCCTGCGTCGTCGCTCTTCTGTTTTTGGCTTATTGCCTACGGGTATGTCGGTCTTGAGTCCTTGACGTATCTCCGCGCTGGCAGTTCAAAGATGACTAACCTGAAGTAGACTCTTGCTGCGTGCGTTGATGCCTTCTGGCACGGAGCTAATGGGGGCTACAGTAATATGATGACACAGTGTTTTATCTGTGAGCGACTACGGTACGGGTCTCGTACAGCTATTCGATCGAAGAATCAGCGAGCTGCTCCGTCATGCAGAATTTCAACCAATAGGAGAGAATAGCTTGAGCAATTGCCACCCAACAGGCCGGAGGAAACTCCCGCACTTATCCCACTCATACGAGGGCATACCGACGTCATGTATAGCTGTCCGTACGTAATTCAATACAAAATCACGATATCCTGCCGCGAACCTAGCCGATGAATATACAACTATTCCTCTCACGCATTGGCGGGCCGTGACATGGAGAAAAGCGACAGTCAAAAGTTGAGGCCATTGCTACCTAGCAGTGGCAGTACCTCGGGCAGCCTTAGTGCCGGCAGCGGCAGCGGCAGCTCAGGATGGCCCTGGACTCCTCCCACACGAACACGTCCAAAACGGTCTGCGGTCAAAATAGCTTGTGAGCAGTGCCGCCAGAAACGCATAAGGGTGAGTGAGCGTGCGGGAGCTGAGACAAGAAAGCCGAAGTTTTGTGGATCAAGGCTAACAAGCTCTTATAGTGTGACGATCGGCGGCCCAGGTGCGGACCATGTGCGCGCAGGGGAGTTCCATGCGTTTACGACAGTGGCGACAACGAGGCGTCGGCCCTGGCCATGAAAAGAAAGCTCACCCTTCTGCAACATGAGAATCTCCGATATAGAGATCTCATTGGCATTTTGTGTTCGAGGACTGATGCTGAGGCACACGAAATTCTTATCCGCATTCGGGCGGCCGACGATCCCTTGCGTGTTCTAGATGCCGTTAAAGAAGCAGAGATCATACTTCCAGTACCCTCTTTCAGCGGGAAGGCAAGTGCTGCTGAGCTAGTCAAACTTGACCAAGAAGCATGGGAGAATAGCGATATCAGGGTTCCGGCACAGCCGTGGACAGCTGTAGCAGGGGACGGCCTCGTGTCGGAGTTGGTGTCAGACTACTTCAAGTGGGAGAACGCCTATCTCTTCCCCACGATCGACCGCGAAGCATTTTTGGTCCAGATGACTGGACGAGATACAAAATATTCGTCATGGTGCACGCCTCTTCTTGTTAACTCCATCTGCGCCCACCGATCGGTCAGTTATACACCCCAACCCATCTCCAGACTCGTCTCTCTAATCTTCGCGGTAACAGCAAACCCTAGGGAGAGCAAAGATCTACAGCTCGCTAACACGACAGAGCCTCGCCGGACGATTTCTCGACGAAGCAGAAAGCCGGCTTAGGGATGAGCAAGGAAAAATTTCGATACCCACTGCTCAGGCTCTCATGCTGAGATACTTCACCATGGCCTGCATGGGACGAGATAGGATCGGAAGGGCTTGTCGGCAACAGGCAATTGATATCGTCCGCCGGCTGAACCTAGAGGCCCAGTACGACTCAATCGCTGGCGCTTCGCGAGCCGAATTGGCAGAGAAGAGTCGACTCTCCAAAGCTCTATGGGGACTCTTTATTGTAGAGACGTATGTCCTTATCCAACCCGCGCCCCCCACACACACCGCAGCCACCCTCTCTACGCTACTACGACACTGTTTTGCTGACTCACCTCGGAACCCTAGTCGATTTGCCTACTTCTACTTGCAGCCTTCGCAGATAACCCCGCCAGAGATCCCTCACGTCTTTGATCGGGACGAATTCAACGAACCCGACAGGCATGGCAACATCGACGTTCTCGGCCGACCGTTTGAAGATTCCCCATGCGAGGTTCCCCTTGTAGCCGGTATAATTAGCCACGTATGCACTCTGTCCGAACTGTTCTACGAAGTCATGAGGTATAATAGCGCGGATGAGAACGACCGCGGGGATGAGCGAGACATTAACGTCCGGAAGGCGTTCTACGCAAGGCTGAGACAATTCGAAGAGAATCTACCACAGCAGACCTCGGCAAATCATAACCCCAGCCCATCGACAATTTACCTGAGGTATTTCGCGATCTTAAATGGCTCTAGTTGCGCAATAGCTAATGCAAACTATCAGAATGCACCAAAACGAGGTTGCCTTTGCCATCATTCAAAATCAACGGCATGAGGCGCCTTTCGAAATTTCTGCTGACGAACCGGGCATTATAATCAAAGATTTGTGTGCACGCCACTGTCGCTCCGACGTCGAGATGGCCAAAATGTTCCTCTCATATTGGGCCTTCGAACCTTGTCTTTGGCGCCATCTTTACCTGTCGTTACAGCCCCTATCTCTTATGTTGGACCGCTCTGAATGCCGTCAGCTCTTCACCGCGGCGTCTGCCATGATGCGTGCCGGGTATAGCAGCTTCCGTATCTGCGGGAATCTGCTCCAGGCCACACAGGCGTTTGCATGGACCGTGAATGAGGAAATACCGCGAGAGGCACAGCCACACTATGAGGGTTGCAAAGAGAACATGGAAACGCAGGACCTACCCTTGAGCTTTGCGCTGCCGCGTCAGGACGACGCCAAGGAATTGCTCAAAGATAAGTCGAAGTGTCAGAAGGGTGGCAGCTTCTCAGAGGATGATCTGGGTTCGTTGATACAAATGTGGACGTTGCAGTGATGTGTGCTTCTCTATAGCTCTGTAGCATGACGTCGTGGGTTGGGAGGTTGGGAAGCGTGGACTCGGCGGGGTCTGGAATACGGATTACTTGATATTCGTTGATCCGCTGGGCTAGGTAGCTCTCAGCTAAGAGAATCTTTACGTGGAAAAAATATAGGTGGTGAAAGGTTCATCGACGCAAGAGGCAGGTATACAGTACACGTCTTTTTGGAACAGGGGTTCCGACATTCCGCCGAAAATCACAGCAGCCCCCAGGACGTGCTTCAAAGGCATTTTCTCGAGGAAGCACCGGCCGCGTAGAATTGTTCCATTAGTCGGCGTTCCGCCAGTCTGGCCTGCCACAGTGATGTCTTCGAGATCTTGGGCGCATTCGCAGTGGTTTATCGTGATGCTTGGTATATCGGCTGTGGCTGTTGCTGACGATTTGGTGAAAGGATCGCATGCCAATTAAGACTCCTGACCAACTTCCATACCACCCTGCGACGCGTTCCCAGCTAGTCTATGCGTCGGAGAGACTAGAGCCCTGTCATTGGCCACGAATCAACCATCAAATCCGAATCGAGTCCCCTTATAAGCACATCTTTCTCGACCCACAGGAGAAGTTCTTACGAATCGATCGCACTGCTGTCCTCTAGTGAGGGACCTGACAGTCCAAGGGCCTTTCTTCTCCCACCGCTCTCATTTCTCTCCATCTCGCGCTTTATGCCATGCTTGACAGCATCCAAGACCGTATCAACAGTGACTCGGGGCTCATAGGTTGGTGTATTGCCTTCCTGATAAACACCGGTTTTGACAAGAATGCTATACCAATCGTCGTCGCTCGCCTCGTTGACCGCGTTTGTCCCCCGAATATCGCTCTCGGGAGTATCACCGACGAAGTAAACGGTCTTCAGTGAGCCCACAAGTCCATGTTCAGTTGTCCGCCAGTCACTCATAAGCCTTGACGCGAACTCGAAAGTCGAAACCTGGGGCTTGCCGAAGGCGTGTATCCGGGCTTTCCCCTTACCACCAGTCAAGTCGCTAAAGATAACTTCAAACATGCGGCGCAAAGCACCCATACCAAGGCGGACTTGTTCATGGGCTGCAGACCAAACAACGTCGTTATGCGAGAAGTAAATCGGTGGGCCTTCGTCGAAGGTTGTACTAAGAGTCCCAATACGGCCGCCTTGGGACATGGCTAGGTCGACCATAATCTGGATATCGCTGGCCCAGTCACGGGAATCAGCGAAGACGAATATTGCATCAATAACGTCGCGGCTAAAGCTGCGGCGTCGCGAATTGGCGTATTCTTCGGCTGTCAGCTTGCGGAAGGGGGCAACGGCCTCATTGTGCTTGATGATATCGCCAGGCGTAACGACATCTTTAAAGCCATAGCCTTCGGCGACGTGTCTGCACTTTTCGCCTTCACCTCCTACGACGAGGACGGTTTTATACCTCTCCGCCATCTCTCTCATAGGTGTATGGCCGCATATGAACTGGCCAGTCTTGATCTCCCGCCCGAGTTGGCGGGAAAGATCACGGCATCTTTCCTCCTCAGTTTTTCCGCCACCATTTGTCAAGAAGATATGAGGGCTATCCAAGCATGTTAGTGCATATATCTTGGCTCCTGATACTTGAAACAGTACAGATTAAAAGCATTCATCAGTCCCCCAATGCCGCGGGAAGGGATGCATCGAGAGATATTTTCTGACACACCAGGTGTCCACATTTACTTACACAACGATATTATACTCATTGTCTCCGTCGAGAACCCTCATGGCCTCGATTGCCTCTGGAATTGGCTTTCCACCACGTACGAGCACACCGTCGATGTCAAAGGCATAAACGAATGAGTCAGCTACATGCTTGTCGCCGCCGTGACTCCCCTTGGCGATTTGAGATGCAATTGTTTGCAAGTCGGCGAAGCTGCACCGATGAGGTTTCGACATCGATTGTGAAGGACTCGGAGCGGTCGCCGCAGAATTGACGGTCTTGACGGGGTCAACGGCAACTTCGGGCAGCGACGGAGCGCCTTCGAAGAATGACGTCGACTCTCGGTGCGATCGTAATTCGGCCATGATAAGCTAATTTGCTTGTGCGTGTACAGAGGATACGATGTCTGAATTGAAAAAAATTGAAAAAATTTGTGACAAAGTAATTGGGTATGTCTTTAGAGTCTGAGCGTACATTATCGTTTATCAGAGCAGAAGATATCGGCGTCAGCAGGGTTAGATGGCAGGTAAGAGCAATACTATCTGTGATTAACATTGCATCATAATGGCGTTGATGTAGGCCCAGAATTATATAATCCTTACATCGCTTTTAGTAACCCGTTAGGTAATGCGTTTACTAGCCTTAACTTAATATGGCGCTGTATCTTGAGTGTCTATGAAGCTTAAGTTATGGAGTCTTTAGAGCGCTTTACGTAACGTAACCTTTATGATCTTCGCTCAAGAACCTAAAGACTTCCCTACGCCTTGCTTATAGAGCTATGCTTTTGGCTTCGTTTTCTCGCTATCCATCAGCCCCGTATACCGCGCTCTGGTGTTTCGAAACACATAGTAGCGCGATAATGTGATGCTCGGGTCTAGACTAGCTACCGGGTAGGTAGAATAGAAGTCAAGAGGGTGTGATGGCCCCGCTAGCATCTGGCTTGGCGTCCCGCTTCGCGAACTCCTTTTGACCTTGGGCTAGGATAGCCCTGGCACTGTCTCTCCGCGGCTGCAGCCACAATAAACAGTAAGAGACGGCTAGATCTGAATAGGCGTGCTGACTCCGCCAGGGCTTTGGGCACTTACTTGCCTGGGGACTCTATGCAGTCAGAGTGGGTTACAGGCTGCTGTAGCTGAAACGGCTGCATTCTACCTGTCAATTAGACTACCCTGAGCGGTGTCCGCATTGCGTTTCCTCAAGCATCAATAAATGATTAGAAGTGCCCAGGCTCCATGGAAGTCCACAATAAGCACGCATGCACCGACGACCTGGACAGCGGAGGATTCGGCATGTTCCGGTCACTAGGCTAGATCTAAACTAAGCCAAGGATCTGAGAGATTGCATCGGCGCTGGTTTAGCGCCTTTCGTCGGCCGATTGCGTACAAAATGGCCGCTGGCTATAAAGAGTGCTGGGACACCCAATCACTGACTCACTGATGATATGTACACTCGTCGTTTGCATCAAGTCTTTTTCCGATTACCAAATACCAACCTGCGGCACGAATTCTCTTCTAGTGACTTCCCATAGCTTGCCACAAGCCACAGAGTCTTTGTCTAATTTTGCCCAGTCCGTACGGATGCTATGTCTGGCCTGGATTGGACGACCTATCCATTGCGAGACCAAGAGTGCGAGCGGCTTTGAAATGTTACAGCCAGATCGTCTCCACGAAGCTGGCGCCATAGCATAGACCTCACTTCAGGGGTCTTAAGGAGTGTGTGTGTGTCTGAGTAGTTGCCAGGCGCGCCCAATTGACTACTAATGCTGTACTGCATGTCGCTCCGACGTCGGCGTCCTACCCCACCTTGTACTCATGGGGCCGTGCTAGTCCTGTTGGAGAGAACATGGTACGTTCTCTCCACCATGATTCCACTCTCGTTCACGCCTTGGTGGTGTGCCTCGGGTCTACGATTATGGTTGTCCGTGTCCCGCTGGTTCGAGTGCATAGCTTTTGATGTGCTTCCGTGCCTTCGATGCCCGTACAGGCCGTTCGTCTTGGTTCGCACGGACTCGCCCAGGCGGGGAACCCCTTGACCAGGAGCTGCCGCACAGCCGGGAAACAGGCGCACATCAAGCCCACCGTGATCTCTATGGTGGACCAGAGACAGGCGGGATAGTAGTCCCACGTCATGTTCGATGTCTTCGCAAACGTAAAAGATTAATCTTGATATAAAAGTGCCTTTGCAAAAAAGCCCAAGACGCCCACACAGCTGGCTGCCGAGGTGAGCAAGCCTTGTGTTGTCTTGAGTCCTGTGCTTCCTTTCCTTGCTTCTCTAGAACAATCAAGGACCTGACGCATATCGAACCACACACATCGTCGCCAAAGCCGCGGTCTCGCAGCACTTAAGCCCCTTCCATTATGGCAGCCCTTTTCAATCTCTTTCTCTTCCTCCGGGTTGCTTCTCATGGCACGATTGTGCGGGCAGCCGGTCTGCCCGCTGATACACTCTTCCAAATTGACTTCTCTACGGATAAAAATGGCGGTTGTGCCACTATAGGCCGCGAAACAATCCAGAGGTTGCTGGACGAGTCCGAGACCCTCGCGCGGGCTGACTCTAAACTGGTCGATGACTATGGTAGCAAGGATGAAGCAAGGAGGCTTATCAACAGCTTTGTACTGGATAACAAAGAAAATCACCGAAGTACCCTTAAATGTATGTCGCTCTGTTCTCTGAGCTTCTGTTTTACTCTATTTCTCTATTCGCACATGAGGTGCTGATCAAAAGCTTACAGCGGGCTATGACGCTGTCTGACAGTTTTTGACCAACGGCGAGGGCTCTGGCAGCGAGAGATGGTATCTCCTCTGCAGCGATAGCTGGGCTTTGATGCAAGCTATGGATGACAATGCCTAAAATAGCGATGGAGAACCATTCTTTGAGCCCTCCCCAAATTCGGTTGGCATACAGATTCGAGATGTGCCCGAGCTTGTGCAGAAGCAAAGAGAGAGCATCTAGGATACTCCTGTCAGTTTGCCCCTGCGTCCTAACTATCATCCGCCTCAGGAAAATGGGTAGAGCTGCTGTCACATATGGTTTCTGACCCATCCTATAGTATTGGAGCCATATCCACTGTGGTTATTTCTTCGACGATAATTACGACGGACACGGCAGTTATTGTTAGGAGCTGACGAACGCTGCTGCGACCTCTGAGCTTTTGCAGCCAACCACACTCACTTTATGCCCGCAAAGCTTCAGAAGAGGCGACACCCTCGGCAGTTTTAAGATTGAACCACGGCGAAGCTCAACAATCCGCAGAGCGCAACCAGCTGTCCCTGAATCGGCTCAGCAGCTCAAAGACGCCATCCCCACCTCTGGCACGTTATTTCATGAGCTTTTCCATCCAGTCCTAGGAGCCGATAACACGTATCCGGAGAAAGGTGAGTAGTATGATATTACCAGAATGCGCAATATGAAGGCCCAAAATGCTGTTGTAAGCCCGGAGACGTATGTTTTTATGTCCGTGGCGTACTACTATACGCGGAAAATTCTAGACGAGAGTGGACGCAGGGTTGATGGGCATAGTGTTGAGTTTAACGCCTACTTCACGACTCAAGGTTGAGTGTTCAGGGAGAAAGATGGTCTAGCAGAGGGGTAGTGGTTCACAGAAGGTCATAGTCTGTGGAATGTGGACACCAGTATGACTTCACTCAGGCAACCATCCATTCGACGTCGGCCCCTGTGACGAGTGTTTACATGTGTCCTTTCCTGTTTTAATTGCACAGCAACCTTCCCTACTGTGCTGGTAGACCGTAGTAATCGTCGGTACTCTCCCGCCATAGCTGCACCGCAGATTCGTCAAATCGCTCCCCATGAGGATCGCATACATTTAAATTCCTGTCTAGCCACGCCACAATGTCGGCATGGCCGGACACCCTCGCTTCGTCAGCAGCAGTCCGACCCTCCTTGTTCTTCTGGAGAAGAAACGTTAAGCACCCTATCCGCGAGCAAATCGAGCTCTCATCGGTAAACTCGTAATATGGCCGGTTCCCCAGGCTTCCCTCGATTATTTGTAGGTTTTTGTCGGCGTCTTCGATGTTCCACGTCTTAAACACTTGTATCGCAGCCCTTACGAGCTCTAGTTTGCCGGATCGGACTGCCGCGTGAAGGATTGTATCGCCGTTGTAATTTTGGTGGCTGAAAAGGGCGTAAAATGGTATTTTAAATGTCGCCGCTTTATGTGCTCTCATATGACGGAGAATGTCTAAAACCTCGAAAACGTTTATCCGCCGCGCAAGTATAGCTGTGTGCAAGAGTGTATTCCCCGTCGACGGTTCCACGCCCATGTAGAGCACGCTAATGTTGTGGGTATTACACTTATCAGACGCGATATCCATCGCGTCATTGACTTCATCTTCTACCCCAGTCCTGACGGTATCGTGGAGAGCGGCGATAAGTCGAGGATTCGGCGCTTGAGCATCATAGGAGAGCACATAGTGCTTGGATTAACGAAGGAAGTCACTCGAGCTGAATGGGAGTGCCGGAATCTTCTTCATGATTTCGCAGCTCAATTGAAATGTTGGAGATACTTGCAGGCAACCGATGGCGAGCAAACGAGAAGATAGCAGCGCTTCGTGATAGCTATGAGACTATTGCTGTGATGAACGCGACGTTGTTGACGTGGTTGCGCTGTCGCGAATAATATCGTGTTAGACTACGAGGAGCCCTTTTCGTGACTCTGGTGATATATTTTAGTATT